TACATTCACATTACAGCAGCATCTGGAAGTTGACGTTTTTTTTCTAAATGGCCTGCTATAGTTCAACTCCAACTTAAGTCGATCTTAGTCTTTGAGAAACACCCCCGGGTCTCTCGAAGAGGAATTAAAGCTGCTAGTCCCTTGGTTGCTTTAAAACTTAGAAGCATGTTAGCAGTCAAGTAAAAACAAATCAGTTGCATGACCAGTTATCAACAGACAAAGACAGATACACCTGTATCATACAGGTGTCGTGGTCTAGTGGGTGCACCATCGGTCTGCGGATCACATGATTTGCGGTTCAAGTCCCCCCCCCCCCCCCCCCCCCCCGGTCACTAATGCCCTTTTAGAAGGCATTACTCTAATTCTCTTCTCAAACAAGGAAAAAACTCTTTGAATGTGAGCACCACAAACTGAAGTTTAACAGAGCTGGGGTAATATTGGAGCGGCTTCAGCGCGTTGCGTGGAGACAACATACGTGTGCTATAACAATATCCAACATTAGTTTTCTTTTTCCATGATTCAAATTTCATCACTAGCTATCAACAGATAACAAAACTTTTCTTTCATTTGCAAGCGCATGACCAGCAGTCAACATTGCCTTTAAATGAACCCAGGGGTGCACTGCTTGAGCCAGACAAATCAATGAATGATTGAGTTAGTGGAAATGAGGTTGTTTATTACTCTGCCCAGACAGCCCTTATCAGCTGAAGATATGAACTCACTTAACAGCTGTTTCCTAAATGAATGCCCTAAGGATTTCCAAGAAGGGCTGAAGGCAACTTGAACTCTGTGTGCATCACTTGTGCACCTTCTTTGTCTAAAAACACACTTGCTGATTTTGAAGCTGATTTTGAAGCCAACTGTCCCATGCCCCTCCCCTCCCCATTTAAAGCCAATCATGCAATACTGTAGTACATTACAAGTACTGTACTGTACAACTATGTGCATATGCCCTACTGATATTGTTTTTTTATAACAGCCCCACCCATTTAAGACCACACAGAAGAATGGCAACAATATTTTGAGAAACTGAATCCAATCAGGGGCTCGGGGCGAATTAGCCCCCAAAATGCCAAAACGAGACCCCGAAAGTAAAAAATGAGCCCCAAAAATTTGCATAGAGTTCAATGCAAAACAAATTAAAGAGCATTATTTTCATGCAAGCAAGCTTGAAAAGTAGCCCCAAAATTTTTTTATTCATTTTTTCCCTGGACCACATAGAAGAATGGAAACAATATAGAGAAACTGAATCCAATCATCTGCATGCAACAGAGGTTCTGAAAACCAACCCTTCCCCATCTACATCTACATGTACATGTACAAGGAACTTATTGGTTCCAATTATAAACTTCCTCTACAATATGAGAATTGAGAGCATAAAACTGATATGTACATTGTACATGTACATCTCGTTTATCTTCAATATATGTTGAGAAACATAAAGTGGGACTCGTGCTCGAACTCATGTACATGTATAAGAAAATTAAACATGGGATTGAAGTCCACTTTAGGATGTGTTTTGTCAATGTCAGTGGAAAAGCGTTTACACAGAGAAAATAATCACAAGAATGTTTAAATGTGGATAACTCAGGCTAAAAAACAGATACATGTACATGTAGGCAAATTTTCATCAGCCCAATGAATCAAATTAGATGCTAGCTGTACATGTACATGTACATGTACATGTAGCAGAGCATCTATTAGCTTTAAAAATCAGTCCATGTTTGAAGTGGGTTGGTGAGAAAGCAACTACATGTACTTTCAGTTAAGTAATCTGAAGTCAACTTCTTTTCTCCTTCCAAATCCTTCTGAAGTTCTGAGCATGTACAGAAAAAAAAAAAAGAACAAGTGATGTTGATGCCACTTGTTGCAAATTCTAGCCTATTTGACCCCTTTGCGTAGGAGCTTTGTAGTCATAATGACTACAGGCTTGGATTGAGGATAGTGCTACAGGGAATTGCATATAGGCTATGAATACTGGGTGATTTATTTCTCAATTCTATTTAAAGGTACATGTACTGTACATGTAGTATGCTTTAATCTGGTTTTACAATTAAACACACATACAAAATTACAAACATAATACACTGTACATCACAACAAATGAAGTTCGTTAATCCTATTTTTGGTACAACACTGTGAGCCTACTTTTTGGAAAATTTTCAATGAAGTACCAGCATTTTAATTGGTTTCACATGATGGATTGCATTCTCAAAATGCCTTTTATTTGACGGTGAGGTTTACAGGATCTTAACACTTCTAGAACCTCATTTCTCATACACATCAATCTACTTCATTAATTTGTGCAAATAAAGCACTTTCCCTGGACTTGTCACATCTCATTTTATTGAAAATTGTGATTAATGTTCTGATTTTAATAACTCATGATCCATGCAGATCATAAAAGCTGGATACCTAGATTTCACCTCGATGTGTCTCTTAAAGAAAGTGGAATTGCAGGACTAGTACTCAACTTTGTATGTGGTAATGTAAATTGTATGAATGTAAAAATGTAAAGCGCATAGAGAATTATCTTCGATGATTATTATGCCCTTTATAAATCACAATTATTATCATTATTATTATTATTTAAAGCCAATATGTCCTTTTGATACTGTGCATGTACATGTCAATGTATGTGCAACGTTCATGTACAGCAGCAGTGAGGCCAAAATGAAACTGTAGACATTGTTAACCACTGCAAGACACTGACGTAAATGCAAATATCTAGCAGCTGAACAGCTTGTTGATATCTGTAAACAACTTTCATTGTCATGGTGATTATCCAGACATATTACAAATATTGTTAGACTCCCAAGTAAATAATAATTAAATAAAATAGATTTGTATTGCGCAGCTACTATACAAATACACTCTAATGCGCTGAATATACTCTACGCTAGGGTAAGAATAAAACTTCTTAAGTACCCCATTCATAGTGGCCTGATTTTCATTGGATGCATCCGGATGCATCCAATGAAAAGGACACTTTGAATGGTACAGAGGAGAAAAAAATGATAGGCAATTAAATTCTCTTGCTCAAGAGCAGGAAAAATTCTCTTTCTATTGGTGCGACTCCGATTAAGCGGCCACTGTAAATGGGTTCGGAAGAAAACACAGATGAAAATGGACAAAAAGATGGTTATCTTGTTCCGGCTAAAGTTGGTGCTGGCGCGCTTTTTCGGAACCCGACTAGCTAGCTAATGTAGCTGCGCACTGCACTGTCTGCCAAATCCAAAAAAGTGTGCACCAGCAGCGAACATGCGATTGCGCAATAATTCTTCACTTCCTGCTGAGGCTCGCCACAGCGAGTGAATTTCAACGGCAGTATGAAAGGGGCAGTATGAAAGGGACAGCAGGGAAAGCGCCGGTTTCACCTTTGTTTACATGAGGCAAATTCTATCTGTAATTTTATTGGTGTGACTCCGATAGAGGCACTATGAAAGGGGTATTAGGCTGAGAATAAAAACTTCTTGGAGTGCTACTGTACTTCAAAGACACACAACCAACTCCATTCAGAGGCTTCTGAAAACAAGCGGGTCTTCAACAAAACTCTGAAGAGGCCTACAGATGAAGCCACTGATCTTGCAAGCTTCACTTTATACTTTTCTTCAATCAAATAATCTATTTCATCATTTTATCACTGTGTACAGTTGCATGCAAATTATTTACATCATCCAGAAAGATATTGAAGATTTTGGACTTGGATTTGAGACATGGACTAATGTTAAAAAACTAAAAACAACTAGATTTGTAATACTTGTTTGGAACAAGTATAGGTGGGCTGGTCCAACTAAAATTTGAGACAAAATAAAGGCACATTTGAGATAGCTGATTGTCTCAGCTACAACATACTCGAAGTTCAGCGTAAACGAAGCTAAAACGACAGAGATATTGCTCGCGAAAGACGGGAATGTAGAATCGAGTTTTGAGAAAAAATCATGTCCCATAGAGAATACACGCAAAATGTGAAAAATTTACATTCGTCCTTTAATCGCAAAAATACGCCATGATGCTTTTGTCGAAATGAAAAATCGTGATTCAAAATTTGTAGAGAATTGTCTTAGCTACACCATATCGCAATTTGTAAGAAAATCGAGCAATATTTAAAGAGATACAATCAATTTTCCATAAATATGCTGACGTCATAATATGCAAATTCGTATTTTGAGTTCGAAGGCCATTATGATGATGTCACGATACACTTAATGGCCATATGAGACATGAAATTATATCTCCGACTCATCCTCTATCTAAATATGAAAACAATTGAGGGCCCCGGTCCATCACAAAGAGCTATAATGGATATTTGCATAGGCATGATTTTTCCAATATATGCTATGTATTACAAGAGCTCGTGTGCACTGAAATTTATGTTAAACGTTCGATCATTCCGTTATTAATTGTCATAAAGAGATAAAAATAGTATCAATTTGTTTGTAAAAATATGTGGAATATCATGAAGAAAAAAAAATGGCCATTCTATGTTGCATAATGGTGTTACGTGCGAAAACGCGCGCACATGCGCGTGTGCGCAATTTTTTATAAATTGCTTAGAATGGCCTAAAACGTATGCAAAATCATTTTGAGACGATTTTGAGCATTTTAAAATTTTGCGCGCGCATTGACGCGCGGACGTACGCGCACGCGCGCTTTTTCTGACCTGAAATTGACTGGACGGATATTGACCTTGATCATGGTAAATATGAATGAGAAATACTATTTGGTTATGAAGATATGATCATGAGTTGATTTTCCAAAAACTTTACAAAATGGCGCATAGATGACGCATCAGTCAAGGTCAATGATGAAAACGTTATTGTGCTTTGTACATATGCCTATACATATGTGTGCCAAATTTGAAGGCATTTGATTGAGCCATTTTCAATTTACTGTGCTTACAAAAAAGTGGTTAGAAAGAGGAAAAATAAATAATAAATAAAGGCAATTCTAACGAAATTATAAGGTGGTCTGTACGTTATACAGCCCACCTGATAAAATTCACAAAATATTTGTTTTAAGCGGAAAAAGTTTGATCAAGACTTGTCAAATTCGAGAGCCTGCGTGCCTGTGTGTGTGTTTGTGTGTAATTGAGATTTCACAGACATGTATCAGTCAATGAACTTTAATACGTCTGGGGAGTGGGGGCTTTAACCATCAGAAAGACACGACTCAGTTTTGAACAGGAGTCTATCAGCCAGGGTCAGTAGCTCAATTAGTAAATGTATGCGAAGGCAGACAGCTGACCGTGCAGATCAAGACCAATTCACATCTCCAAAGATATCATTCATCATAATTACATGAAACTCTTTACATGCACCTGTATACATGTACATGTGCCACTGAATTTCCGAACGACTGTCGTAGAAGAACTGTCTTTTAAAATTATTATTAGCATGAAGATTTGCTTCTTTTTTTATTGGCATGAATGTTCTACAATGACTTCTGTTTTCATTCATCTAAATGAAAAACAGATAAACAACTTATTGTCTTTATTTCTGAGACTTCCATCATTAAAGAAACGTGTATTGAATAAATGCTACTTTCCAGATATGGGTTTTATGCGACCACCAACAATGGTGGGAAAGAGTTAACCTGTAAAAATAGATAAAATAAACAAATAATTGTGAGCGTTTTTGGACGAAAAGAAGGGGGAAAAAAAAGAAAAGTCTTACCGATATCGGAATCACTATGTGTTGCCATGTCGTAACCTGATAGCCCTCTCATACGAACTTCCATCTTACTCATTCCCAGTGGCCTCTTGCCAGGTGAAGCGGACACTGACCGTGTGACCGGTCCAGACATCCCGTTCAGCCCTTCCACAGCCAAGCTGTTGGCATGGATATTGGGGGTTGAAGCAGTCTTTGGGTAAGGCACATGGGGTTTATCTTCGTCAGAGGAGCTTGCAGAGCTTGAATCTCCTTTGTGTACTCGGATGCGAGTGTGGTGTTGGGCAGGAGACGTCGGAGCAGAGATGTGTAGGTAATCTTGATGGGGCGCAACGATCTGGAAGGTGGGTGACAAAGAAGGTCCGTTGCCGACATTTGGCGGGGGAGTCCCTGGGGTTCCATTCTGCAGGGGAGGGGGAAGGGGCTGCTCTATCAGGGGACCGTTCTCTTTCGGTGGGGAAGAATCCATGCTATGAACTGAATCTCCTAGAGATTCTTGGCTCCCACGAATCTCCACCGCTATCTCCTTGCTATCACTCATCTGCAAAATGAGAACAGATAATAAATCAATTGGAATCTACCACATTGTTATTTGTAGATGTCAATTAAAAGTGCCATGATACAGTACATGAAAGAGTCCACTAAGGACAATGTAATTTTAAAAATCAAAAATGAGAACTCTGCAAAAGTCACTGTATGTTGCAAAAGAAAGAAAGTTGACACTAAAGTTAAATCAATCCTACCAAAACAGAAACCATTGAGACACATTGTACTACTGCAAAACCAAAACATTTACTACATTGCAACATTCGTCTGAAGCCTACAGGTACACTGTATGCCTATGCTGCACAGCCTAGTAATAAATCTTGTTCAGATTATTTCCAACATCTTGCACATGAAGGCATACACACTTTTGGAAACTAAACAATGACGATTTATTGACATACTGTACTAGGGGCGTTCACACCTACAGAAAAAAGTGAGAATTAAAATTTTTTTTTTTAGCGTGTGGACAGAATAATTTCACTAATCTTAGCGATTAGCTATAGTTCACCAGGCGCTTTGTGTGTGAATGGTAATGAGAATCAAAAATCTATTTATTTAATCCATGGATTCCAAGCGCACAACATCTTTGAGATTCACACATGAGCAGTTCGGACATTCTTGCCGTCGAGCGAGAATTCATCATGTGTGAATGGTCGCCCCAACAACAACAAAAATGTTTGTATCGCGATCCAAATCACACTAATTGTTTAGTGTGAACAGGCCTACTGTGATCATAACAAAGCTAAAGCATACATACACATGAATGGTACCTAATGTAACAAAAGATGTCATTTGGCAAATTGCCTTTATGTTTAACCATAAAAGAGTATCTTATAATTAATTTACATACTTGTACACAGTACAGAAAAGTCAATTATAAAGCAAATAGATGAAATACATGGGGGTAATTCCATAAATTAGTGACCCACTTTGTGACATTGTTGGTGTCCCTATTACATTTATAAGGAACCCCCACGTATTTGTGGCTTTGAGTAAAGACTTAAATAGTGGGATCCGGTAACGGGATCCGGTAACTTTGTCTCAGATTCTGAACAAAATCTTGGATTTAGCTCATGCTGCAATCATAATTATAAATATTTAGGTCAGTCAGGAACCCCATGATTTTTATAAGCAGATCGCCTGTCTTATTATCAAGATATTTATGATTGGAATTACAAATTTTGAAAACTGTTTGCCAAACAGTTTTCATAACACTACAGTCTATTGGGATAAACAAGTATGGTAAAAACCTGTCACTCAAAGATTTTTTAAACTTTTTTGAGACACTTCTTGATCATTTTGAAGGGCAATTTTTTGAGGGCTTCAATATTACACCATATCAAAGACACTGATAACACGTAGGGCAGTGTATCTCAGAATTAATGTTGTTAAACGATGCCTTTAGGAGATTCTAGGTGTAAGGATGCAATATTATGCTTGGAAATCACTTTACAATCTCACTCCACTAAATATGTTTGGGTTCCTCATGTAACAGGGACACCAAAAATGTCAACAAGTACATGGACATATACATGTAGTTCCCTAATTTATGGAATTACCCATGTAGCAGTTTTAGCACTGAAGAAAAAAAATTGTTTATTGGGAAAGTGGATAATTATTACAAACATGACCCAACTACTACCTCCTAAATTCCATTGCCCCCCCCCCCCCCCCCCCCCGCCTGTCTGTCAGTATCTCTCTTGCTCTCTCTCTCTCTCTTTCTCTCTCCTTCCACCTCCCTCATTTGCTAGAGCTGTCTCACTCTCCTATCACTGTCAGTGAGTCACTTGAAAATTCTTTTCTTCCTGTATCCCTTCCTCCTTAAAACCATCTTCCTTCCTTAATTATTTTACCATTCATCTCTGCTAATCTTTCTAGCAACATGAAATGTTATCTACAAATCTCTTATCTCTGAGAGCTCTTTCAAGTTTAAGGTAAATAAAACAATATTTGCTTTGCACTTCCTGATAATGTTGCACAAAGTGCTGTGTAAATGAATAATTGTCACAACGTGATGTACCTGTACTTGTAAATTATGTAGGATTAGATTTGAATATTCGGTAAACTGACATCCTTACTTACGCGTTGTTCACAACTTCACACAATGCAGAAAACTGCCTGAAAATTAAAGGAATATAACAACATTAGCAAGAGCATTTCAATACATGTACAGTGTATCTGTTTAATATTAAAGGTAAAGACCAGTATTGGAAACGCCCCAATTTCAAAAAATGAAATGGAAGCTCTCATTACCAATCATATGAAAGAATATGTTTTGACTAATACATGATGATAAAAAATTTGCCGGGAAACCGCCTACTAATTCATATATTTGGTAAATTTGTTTCTCTCTTGGTCTGTGAGAGATATACGGTAGTCCCATATACATCTTTCTGTGTATGTAACTTTACGAAGAATGGGTCAAATTTCTTATCATTTTGATGATTCCAGAACCTTGCAGATGCTAGATGCTAGATGATCAACCTTTTCTGATCGATTCCACAACGTTTCTTTCACAATGCAATCGCATGACCATAACTGGTCTTTACCTTTAATGTGAGGATATAAAGTGCCCACAAATGTTGGCAGCTACTTCTGCCATTTGCCGTTTATTTACATTTAATTGGTTAAAAGCCCCACTGCACTACTTATAGCTACTTGCACCCTTACATGTATATAGCAAACAATGCCTAAATGGTGCCTGTTGGTCCCCCATGATCCTCTTTTTCTTATGTTAATTGAGAGCTGATTTGATGAGATAACCAACTATCAGTGACCTTGCAGGGAGGTCTAATCCCCCTGGCCAAACTAGTGCAGACAGGCTTTAAGGTTTGCCAATGAGGTGGGGGGTTTTTTTTGGGGGGGGGTATTTACTGCATCATGTTTGAACAAGCTAAAAAATGCCTACATTAAAGATAAATGGAGAGCTTCAAATCAATGGGAGAGGAGCAAAACAAAAATTTAACCTGATAATGTGACTGAATATTGATACACCCTGTACTTCTTTACTACATTGTACATGTAGTTGTTTACAACAGCTCCATCATTTGATCACACGAAACCACCATTTCAGTTTGATATCTTTCCCCAAAGCAATCCTTGATTCCGGGGGAGGATACAGTATGACGGGGCAGGGATCATCGGCTTTCCAGCTTAACCTCAAAATGCTTCGATTTCAGAATTCTCATCAAAGGCAGTCAACACACAAAATTGTGGATGAGATACCCTGCACCTGCAATGTCCTACAAATCCTCTAATATCTCAGCTCTGACTTAAATGACTCAAATATAGAAATGACGCACAGTTGTATTCATGTATGGGGCACACCCTATACCTAAAAACTGTAAATTGTAATATGTACAACATCACAACTCTCTTATCAAACAATGATAGATTAAGTACATTGCAGACTACATGTACGTGCTAAATTTTATTATTTCGGTAGACAGCCAGGCAACTCACAATGAGTAAAGATTGTTAATTCTGATTGTCATTTACCTGTATTTTGAGGCAATCCATAAATCTACCTCTTCCTCCTGCACAATCAGTCATCAAGGAAAATTAAACCATTCAAGATAATTACCACAAACATACCCCACCCTATGACAGTCAAACCATGTACTGCACATGTTCATGTACAGCACCTGTTATGAAGAATTGCTTGAATTAAAACATTATTATTTGAGAGTGAGAACAGGGAGTATATTAATTTGCTACTCATTGTAAGGGCTGATCCCGAGAGATATCATGCAAAATTAATTGGACATTGATGAGCTACTGAGAAGAGCATTGAAGCATTGCAGGTGTCAAAAAAACTCACTACATGCAGTTGCTATGACGATCATTGTCCACCCCAACATCAAGTTCATTTGTAAAAAAATGTAATTATTTGGGAGTGTGAACAGGGAGTGTGTACAGGGGGTATAAGTAATTTGCTAGTCATGGTAAGGGCTGATCCTGAGAGATATCATGCATAAGATAGAACAAGTAAGGATTGCACCGCATCAAAATTCATTGGACATTGATGAGCTACTGAGAAGAGCATTGAAGCATTGCAGGTGTCAAAAAAACTCACTACATGCAGTTGCTATGACGATCATTGTCAACCCCAACATCAAGTCGATTTGTAAAAAAAACTTTATTATTTGGGAGTGTGAACAGGGTGTACCAGTAATTTGATACTCATGGTAAGGGCTGATCCTGAGAGATATCATGCATAAGATATAACAAGTAAGGATTCCACCACATCAAAATTCATTGGACATTGATGAGCTACTGAGAAGAGGATTGAAGTATTGCAGGTGTAAAAAAAAACTCACTACATGCAGTTGCTATGACGATCATTGTCAACCCCAACATCAAGTCGATTTGTAAAAAAAACTTTATTATTTGGGAGTGTGAACAGGGAGTGTGAACAGGGTGTACCAGTAATTTGATACTCATGGTAAGGGCTGATCCTGAGAGATATCATGCATAAGATATAACAAGTAAGGATTCCACCACATCAAAATTCATTGGACATTGATGAGCTACTGAGAAGAGGATTGAAGTATTGCAGGTGTAAAAAAAAACTCACTACATGCAGTTGCTATGACGATCATTGCCCACTCCAACATCAAGTTGATTTGTAAAAAAATGTAATTATTTGGGAGTGTGAACAGGGAGTGTGTACAGGGGGTATAAGTAATTTGCTAGTCATGGTAAGGGCTGATCCTGAGAGATATCATGCATAAGATAGAACAAGTAAGGATTGCACCGCATCAAAATTCATTGGACATTGATGAGCTACTGAGAAGACGATTGAAGTATTGCAGGTGTAAAAAAAAAAACTCACTACATGTGGTTGCTATGACGATCATTGTCCACCCCAACATCAAGTTGATTTGTAAAAAAATGTTATTATTTGGGAGTGTGAACAGGGGGTACCAGTAATTTGCTACTCATGGTAAGGGCTGATCCTGAGAGATATCATGCATAAGATAGAACAAGTAAGGA